TATATATCGAACTCACTTCTATAAGTAATGGAATTTTTATTGTTTTTATTCTAGTTTGTAAATTCAATTTTTCAGTTTCATCACGTTCAAAGTAAAATTTTTCATTAAAAATTTTTTATTTACTATACTTGGTTTCACATGAAAATATATATTCATTTTTTGCTTTGCTTTGTCAGTGCCGAATCGGTTGGGCCGGTGATGGACATATGTGCGGCCCAGACAGTGATTTAGATGGATGGCCAGATTTTGATCTACGGTGTGATCATCCAAGATGCAAAGCTGTAAGTAACTGATTCATCTGAAATTAATATCTGTCATACAGACAATTAATGGATATTTATATTTTTTATACTTGTATATAATTCATTTATGTATGATTATAACTAACTTGCATGAAATGAACTTATTTTTAAAACATTTTCTTAAAAAACAAACTTTTTAAAAAAAAATAATTTTAATTTTTATTTGTTAATGCTATATATTTTTAAGAAAAATCAGATAATTTTTTTTTTAAAACTGTGCTTTTCGAAGAAAAATCTCAGTTTTTTAAATTACAGAATTTGTGTCTGCGTCTGTATACCGGAAAGCGTATATACTGAAAATAGGGTACTCAATATGAAGCTAAATGTGTACATACAATTGTAAAATAATCACGAAAACTAATTGTATATCTTTATATTTTTAATTCATTTGAAAAATGGAATACATTTTAAAAATTGAATTTTTTCATTTGCTTAGCGGAAGACAGTGTCTTAAATTAAATTATAGACGATTCGGTTTTGTTGAAAATTTTAAAACAAACATGAGTGATAAACAAACAAACATGAACTCATGTTTAAAACAAACATGAGTGAACAAACATGAGTTATGCTTGCTTATAGCTCTAAAATTTGCGCGTTCTGTAATATTTAATTACTTTTTATTCGGTATATCAGGTTATCTGAATGGTCAACGCCATCGTGATAGGCCAACTACATCTTAAGTTAAATATTTCTAAGGTTATCTGACCACATTTTATTTTGTTATGCTTTTAAAACGTGGTACTATAAAACTAAATAATTTAAAATTAATGGTAATTGAAATTTTAAAAAAATTGTACTAAAAAGCAAAAGTAGTTGAAAAATACTACCGATTCATTGAAGAAAAAAGTAAGGAAACGCCAATATTTTAATTGACACCAATGATAATTAATTTTTGAACTAGATACTAAATTAAGTAAAATATGAAATATGTGTTAAAAAGCAAAATTAATGGAAATAAGTGGTACTAATTCGTTTAAAAAAGCGTGAAAAATTAGCAAACTTTGTTGACGTCAATGATGCTTAATTGAATGAATTGGTAATAGGTATTAATTGATATAAATATAGCTATGTACTAAAAAGCAAACCGTAAAAAGACGTCTTACTATTATTTATACCAATGAGGCTTGATTTTGGTTATTAGCACCACTTGCATTATGGTAAATGATGCAGTTTCATAATAGGTACTTAATATATTCATAAATATAGGTACAAAATATTTTATAAGCAAATTTTGTGCCTATTAAAGCTGTATCAATACCCGTGCATTTTTATGATAGAGATTGCGGAAATAGATTTTTTACGGCCTCTTGAAAATACAGAGTACAGAGGAAATTTGATTATGGTAAATTTTGAATATCATGAGCAAAAGCGTTATGCCAGATGATACTGAACACATTTAATCTTTGCTTTGATGGGATGAACAACTAAGTACGTGTTTTGTTTAATCTAACAGCATAATACTACCGGTAATATCAAGGCAAAAACTAATAATAAATACAAAAAAACATTGGAATTTATTTGGATCAGATTTATTATTTGTATTTGTCTTTCAGTTTTGTACAGGATTTTGTAGTGTTGCTCAGTATTTTGATTCTTTTTTCTCCAAGTACAAAGTATGGGTATTTAGCTAATGCTTATGTAAAATATATATTCTATTCAAAAATATTATGTAAAAAATATTTAATAAAAAAACATTTTATTTCCAATAGGTTTTTTATTTGTTCATTTTATATTTATTTTTAAAAATATTCCTCAATTTCGTCGACAAATATTTTTTTAAAAAGTACTTCTTTGGATAAAGAATATTATTTTGAAAAATAAATAAATAAATCTGTGCGAAAGCTATTTTATATATGATTAAAATTATATATATGGAATGAAACTTATTGTATATATGGAATGAAACTTTTTTCCGTCATAAATTAAATTTAAAAAAAAAAAACAAATCAAATTTTAGACTTTTATCAATATTACATCACATTTAGCAATATTTGCATCTTTTATCAAGTATTTTGCAAGCTATAAGTATTTAAATCTTAAAAACAGAGTCATGGTTTTCTATTTTTTTAAAAAAAATTTTTTTTGTTTCTACACATACGTTTTTTATCTTTTATTAGAGCTACAAAGCTAAATAATTTCAAATTTTATGAACATAATACTACAGTATAATATTAGCATTGGCTTGAGGGGTTTAAAATAAAAATAATATAATTTTTCTTTAATAAGAACGTGAATACTTTGTTATTAAAATCATAAATATTTCAATCTTATTATTACTGCATTAATAAATTACAGTACTATAAATTTTTTAGCAACATTACTGCAATATATAATTTCATATTCTTATTAAATTAATTTTTAATGTATTATAGGTACATTATCAATACAGTGCTAGTAGCCTTAGAGATTTAAAATGAAAAAAAAAAGTGTTTATAATAATTAGATTCATATTTTATTATATTGAGAAATTCAAGCCTTATTAATATTACTGGGATAATGAATACAACTTTTACAGTGCTAAATTGTAATAATGTTACAGTTCCTTAAACTGAGCTATAGTAGTATTAGTGTGCAATGCATAACACATTCCAAATAGTCGATGGAGTTAGTTAATGCCAGCGTTGGATTGATACAATAAATCGCATGATTATATTCTAAACGCATTAACCTTATATCTGTAGCGAAATCACCATGTAATTGTACGTACATCACTCACATAGTTTAACGAAAATTATCTGCGAACTAACACCTCCGGTTATCTTAGCAAATTAAAGAGAATCACTAGGTAATTAGGGACGGAAATAGCTGCGCTCTCAATACAATTGAAACAAAGTGTCAAAATAAATTATCATAAAGCATAACGTTTATTTCAATTCATTCGTGTTAACGTTAATTACTATTATTATTATAATTTGAGTTTCAAAGTTAGTGAGATTAATTGTAGAAATGGTAAAATGCATTAATTGGGAATTTTACTATAGTGTTTTTAAAACGAAGTCTCGCTACAGCAAAAGTTTTCCCTGTAACGAAATAATCGGGACGTTAGATTACCCATTCAAAATATTCTCTAGAGGATTGGAAAGCTTGGTTGGTTTGGCGTTGGGCCCATGAGGTCGTGAGTTCGATCCCTTCCTGATGCAAAATGGTGACTGCCAAGTTGAGGTGACAAAGTCTTCTGAGTACCCATAACAAGTCAATACCTGCGTCGAATTCTTGACCATAGATGGCACCACTGGAAAACACGAAGGAACTCACCCCTCTGCCTTAAAATAGGTATAGTATTGACAAGAAGCATGAGACAACAACAACGACAATATTCTCAAGATAACGAAATGATTGTCTTCCTATAACGAATTTTTCAGACAATTATCTATTCAAATTTAGTCATTTTTAGAATTTTTTAGACATTTATCTCCTCTACTTTAGTAATTTTAGGAATTTTTCAGACGTCTATATTTCTATTTACGTCTTTTTAGGAGATTATCAGACAATTATCTTTTCTAATTTTGCTATTTTAAGAATATTTCTGAATTCATTTTTTATACTTCCGTTATTTTTGGAACGCTTTAATCATTCATTTTTCTTTATTATTTTCATCATTTTACAGAATATTTTACACGTTTATCTTTTCAATTTTTCGCTATATTTCGAAATTTTTCCGTTGTTTATTTTTTTAATTTTCGGCTTTTTTTCCGAGTTGTTCTGTCGTTTATTTTTAAAATTTCAATATTTTCAACCTTGTGAAATTGAAAACAATCTTTGCAAACAATTCACTCTCAGTTGTGCCCGTTTCTAGAACCACTCGCCCATTGCTTTCAATAATAATGGATAGTTTTAAAATAAACTATTAGAAGAAAAATAATTCACGTCAAATACTCTTTTATTCTGTGTGCACTGAGAACATGGAAGCTCTCCTCTAAAATGTGATTTTATTAAAATTTAGCATCACAAAATGCAAAACAATGTAAAATCATGTAATTTTTTTTAGCATAATAAAAGTGCATACTTAAACGCATTCTCTAAGTTAATGAATTTTGTTCTTTTTCGGTCATTTTAATCATGGCAATGTGCCCTAATTTTCATAAAAGTTGGTCGCATCAATTAAGCAACCCTCTGCTTATATAACGGTTTTATGATTGTACATTTCGTCAATTACTGGAATTAAAATGTCATTTTAAAAAATATTTATCTTTATGAGCAAAATTTATTTCAGATTCGGGATCCCCACACCCGAATTAGGTAGCATTAAGTATTTGTATAAAGGAAACAAAAAATTTGTTCCTCAGTGTAGTTTGTATTATTCATTTTAATTTAAAAAGCATAATTATGCACTTTTGAACTTAAAGAACAGGCTGAAATTCTGTGGTATTTACTTTTATAAATGTAAAAACGCACTTGCCTAGGTATAAAAATTTTTTCTTTATAGCGAATTTTTCAATTAGAACTAATCGATTTCGTTATAGATAGACTTCACTGTATTTACGTATAATTAAGGTTTTACTTATTTGTACCGCGATTTTAAGAATAAAATCTAAAAGGTTAAGCACTTTATAAAAAAAGCATTCAAAATTGTTCTAGAAAAAATATTTAAATAAAAGATTACTTTAAATAAATTTAAGCTATTAATTACTTAATATTAACAATGCTTGTCCTATTTTTATCTAAATCGCTATTTGTTATTAACTGCTGTTACTAAAACAAAAATATATATTTTAAATTGTAGGTAGCTAGGTATTTTATTTACGTCGATCTAGAACTGCACACAATGGGGTATTGGCGACGATCTGGGGAACATCCCCGAGGATGGTTCAAAGACATGCCATCACAATTTTGATCCTCTCCGGAAGGGATGACTCCTCCGTTTTGGTAGCCTTACAACCTAAGCACGAAGTCGAGCACTTTACGGTAGAGCAGTCTAACGAGGACAGATACTGCGTACCCTCCGCCGCTACGGAGACTGATCAAAGTGGTCGCCCACC